CTGCCCCCACAGCCTGGCCCTGGATAAATGGTAGAGAATGAATGAATATGAATGAATGAGAATGATATAGAATTCTGACACTGTTGGTGGATGTTTCCTGTGGCAGGCCCAGTATATCTTGATCCACCAGGCTCTCCTTGAACATACTCAGTTTGGTGACACTGAGATCCCTCTCTCTGAAATGCACTGTACACTGAAGACATTGAGGCAGAGGGATTCGGATTCTGAACCTACTCTTTTGGAAACTGAATTCCAGGTCAGTCAGCCACACAGCAAAAGACCAGTATTAATGAGTACAGCTTAATTCTGAAGCTTGTGTTTGTATTATGGAGTGAAGCGAATGGCAAGAGGGAGATAAGCAGCCATTTTTATCCAACAATGATGTACAATTTTACCTTAAATAAGTTTATAAAAAATATACCACTGTAAAATACAGCCCTGGAAAAAATTAAGAGACCATTGTATATTTTTCAATTAAATCACATTCTTAAATCCCAGTTTAATTATGGTTCTGCTGGCTGAAGACTACGCTGAGCATCAGGATGCTTCAAGGTTCAAAATTTCTAAGACAGCAGTACACAAGAGTAAGGTGAAGCAGGAGACACTGGGAACAACCAGAAACCAGCCAGGTAGAGGGCAGAAGCAACTTTCTAATGCCAGAGATGGCTGTTAGCTTATCCAATGAATCATAGGATGACATCAAGTGACCTTCAAAAGGAATGGGGAACATTAAGTGCAGGTGTGAGGTGCACTGCTAAGACAGTGTGCATCAGGCTCCTAGAAGCAGGACTTAAGTCCCATAAAGCAAGGAAGAAGCTCTTTACTGATGAGAAGCAGGGAAGAACCAGGCTGCAGTTTTCAAAACAAAAAAAAATTAAAAAGAACATTATTCACAGACACACACCCATAAATTGAGAAATGAGAGATTGTGCTGTGGTCTCTATTTTTTTCTGTAGCTGTATGTTGTCAACTTTTTAAAAAAATGAGAATACCTAAAATATTCTGAGAATATCCTTTTATTTATTATTCTTTGTAATCTTCTATGTTTATTTTTNCCTTAGACTACAGTTCAATGATTGATTTTGTAATTGTATCGTTGGATCTGCAACCACATGTTTTGGACACTTGGGTGAAGAGAGAAGCTGAGCTGTCAACTGATCCCCTGGGGTGAGTTGCATCAGATGGCGGGGGAGATGCCAGATAGACCTGTTAGACCCAAATACATAGTGAGGGTGTGCTGGGAGGGTCTGGCAGAGGGCCATGTCCAGAAGATCTTCAACTCGCTCCTTTTGCATTCTGAGGGAAGCTGGAGACATTGAGTCTGAATGGTGTATAGCTGTGACTGTAAGGATGTTAGTACCTGCCGCGGTAGCAACTCTTGAACGTAGTGGTGGACACCAGCGGCCCGGACCCAGATCAGGCTGAAGACGGAAGCCTTCCAAACTTGGTTAGCTAGTGGGACTCTTGAAGCATCTGTCAGATACCAGCTGGCCAAGTCGAATGCAGCTTTGCCTATTGCTGAAGCAAAAACTCAGGTGTGTGAAGAGTTTGGTAAGGCCATAGAAAACCATCAGTCGACTCAGCAGGGGGAAGCAGGGCTTTAGCTATGCTGTTTACAGCAGGGATATAGCACTGGTGACCTCAAAAGGGGACATAATCAGGTGGTGGAAGCAATATTTTGAGAACCTCCTGAATCCCACTAACACACCTTCCCTGGAGGAAGTAGAACTGGAAGACTCACCCATCAATAGGGCTGATGTCACTGAGTTCCTGAAAGCTCTTGATGTTGTTGGGCTGTCTTGGTTGACACACGTCTTCAACATTGCGTGGAAGTTGAGGACAGTACCTTTCGATTGGCAGACTAGGGTGGTGATCCCTATGTTAAAGAAAGTGGATCGGAGAATGTGTTTCAACTTCAGGGGGATCACACTCCTTAGCCTCCCTGCGAAGGTCTATGCCAGGGTACTCAAGAGGAGGGTCCAGCCATTAGTTGAAGCTCGGATCAACAATGTGGATTCTCTCCTGGTCGAGGAATGCTGGACCAGCTGTTGACCCTCACTAGGATCCTGGAGCGTTCACAGGAGTTTATCCAACCGGTCTGCATGTATTTTGTGGACTTGAAAAAGGCATATGACTGTGTCCCTTGAGGGGTTCTTCAGGAGTATGGGGCATGGGGTCCATTGTTATGGGTAATTTGGTCCCTGTATAACCGGAGCGAGAGTTTGGTTCGCAATGCCAGCGGTAAGCCAGACTGCCAGTGGGTTTTAGACTCTGCAATGTTTGTCCTTTATCACCGATTCTGTTCATAACTTTTATGAACAGAATTTCTATGTGTAGTCAAGGAGCAGAGGGGGACCAGTTCGGTGGCCTTAGGATCATGTTGGTCCTGTTAGTCTCAATAGGCTGTGACCTGTGGCATGCACTGGGACAGTTTGCAGCTCAGACTGATGCAGCAGTAATGCCGAGGCTGTATTATTCTACCATGGTTAAGAGAGAGCTGAGCCGGAAGGCAAAGTTTTTACTAGATGATTGACCTTCCTATCTTCCTATATCTATGGTCACATACTTTGGGTAGTGACCAAAATAATGAGATTGCGGACACAAGCAGAAGAAATTAGTTTGCTTCACAGGATGTCTGGACCTTTGAAAAGGGATGAGGAGCTCGACCTGGAGATGGTGGAGATGGTGGCTGGGGAGAGGGAAGTCAGGGCATCCTTACTTAAACTGCTGCCCCCGTGACCTGGAACCGGATAAATGGTAGAAAATGAATGAATGAATGAAAATTATATAGAATTCTGACACTGTTGGTGGATGTTTCCTGTGGCAGGCCCAGTATATCTTGATCCACCAGGCTCTCCTTGAACAAACTCGGTTTGGTGACACTGAGATCCCTCTCTCTGAAATGCACTGTGCACTGAAGACATTGAGGCAAAGGGATTCGGATTCTGAAGCCACTCTTTTGGAAACTGAATTCCAGGTCAGTCAGCAACACAGCAGAAGGCCAGTATTAATGACTACAGCTACATTCTGAAGCTTGTGCTTGTATTATGGAGTGAAGCGATTGGCAAGAGGGAGATAAGAAGCCATTTTTATCCAACAATGATGTACAATTTTGCAAGGAAATATGTTTACCTTAAATAAGCATATCAAAAATATACCACTGTAATATGTGTTGTGAACTTTATAAATGAATGAGAATACCTAAAAATTACTGAGAAAATATTGTTTTATTTATTATTCTTTTGTAATCCTCTATCTTTATTTTACCTGTTATTTAGAGGCTGCCAAACTACACAAACTGGCGGACACAAAATACAGGAGTAAACGAGGAGAACAAGAAGAATAATCGTTACTCTGCTGTTGTTCCATGTGAGAGTGACTGATAATTTGCTGAGACTTATGTATATAGATGATTTAACATTGTGGATCTCGTTTTTGGTTTGTTGTGGTGCTGGTTCTGAAACAAATGTTCTGCATAATAATCTTCTGTAGATGATTACAACCGAGTGCTTATAAAATCCGAGGAAGAGAGCAGCCATGAAAGTGAAGAAGATGAGGATGAGGATTATTTAACCGAAGAAGATGAAGAATCTGGCAGATACATCAATGCTTCCTATATAGATGTATGTTCATAACATTTAGCATTAAGGGGACAAAACAATTTGAAAGTAAAGCGAATGACATTGTGCTATACTATAAAGAACTGTGTATACT